ACACACCCTGGGGTTTTCGCCGATATCTCAAAAACAGCGGCGCAAAGCGGCGCTGTTTTTGGCACACCTGTTTGTGCATCTTTTCCGTACATGTTGTGAAAATGTCAGACCCAGGTCGCCTTAGGTCAGGTCACCAGGTCACGCAAAGTGACCTCACCTCAGAAAAAAATAAGAATGCTCGTCAAAGCTACACCGACTGAACGATTGCCTTGAAACCTTCAGCGATTGATTACAGCAACATTATCTATAAAATGTTAACCTCGGAATTTTGATATCGGTGATCTAAGGTCAGGTTAATTTTGCGGCCTCTCCATTATAAGTCAATGGAAGAAGATTGAAAAGCGTCTGTTTTGTACGAACGCTATTCTAGACACTCTTCAAACATCGAGATGTAGGTGAAATTGACACATTGAACCGGAAAATGACAACTGTGACTCCTTGTTATGTCCCCGAGGTCATCTCAGGTCACGAACAGAATCTAACAGTTTTTCGCTAATAACTTCTGATAGAGGCGTGCTAGAGCGCTAAAAACGCCTGAGATGTGTTCGGCTCGAGTTGCAGATCGACTGATATGCAACATGACCTTTTCCGGTCGGATCATGACCTTGACCTGACGACAAATTTTCAAGTTGACCTTTCAAGATCAAATTATAGTTCATTCGACGCGTCACGACGAGAGGAACACGATGCTGGCAAAAATAATGTCATGGCTCTTTTGACTATTTTTGGAGTTTTTGCACTCTGGAGGCTAAACCGTTGATCTGAGGTCAAATATGAGAATAATGCTTAGAAAGGTCTGTAAAAGGGCTATCGAATGCGCTTTTCCGTGGCGTTGTAGCTCTATCGGTTCCCGAGATAGCCGTTGGCAGTTTCCAAAATGTTGAAATAATCAACATTTTACCTTACGTGGCCTCTGGTGACCTGACCTTTGACCTGACCTAGAAAATGATCGAAGTGTTTTCGTCCCTATTTTGGACGTTCTTTCGATTGCCGCTTACCGCGTGTCGCTACGTGGCCCCGTGGCCCAGGAGCCGAGTTAGAAGGGGGGCTGTTCATACACCCCCGGCCCAGCGCGGAATCTCAGAGCACCGGCCCGGCGCGGGTTAAGGTCCTAGGTTATCGGGTGACCTTCCAGGTCAGGTCAATTACCCGAAAATCGGGAAAATCGTGATCTGTTAGAAAGTCGTAAAGTATGGCTGCTATGTGGTTGTCCGGGGTGCTGATCACGAATATCGTGTTTGTTTTAATCAGAGATGATGTCTTTAAGCATTTTGACCAGGTCGGGTCAGGTCAGGTCAGGTCAACCGGTAGGGGTCGTGACGGGTATTCGTAATACGTGTCAACCGCCTCTGACAGCTTCGTAACATGTTACGAAGGCACCAAAACTACTTCGTAAATGTTCAAATGGTTGCTAAATTCGAAATCAGCTCCAAAAAAACTAGCCTAGAAACATGTAAAACTCGAAAAAGTAAACCGAGGTCACAAAAGGTCAATGACCTGACGTGACCTTCAGGTGACCTTGACATCCACCCTAATGCATGGGAGGCAACATCAAATCACATGTTTGAACGTTTGAAGCCACGAAAAGCTTGCAAACGCGCGGCTAATGCGAACCGACATATGCCGAATCGCGATTCCAGCCAAACATGGTCTCGGAAAGTAGGTCACAGGTGAAAGGTCATTTGGGTCAGGGTCATGAACTTTCAGGGTAGGTGTAAATTTGATCAATGCGAGGGTACTGAAAGTTTCGTCGCGATTGGCCGCTTTTTACGCGAGTTATTCGCGAAAAACCTGGGGGGGGGGGACCGGGGGGCTGCATTAACCCCCTGTGCCGGTGAGGGTTAAAATTTTCTTAAAAATTAAGTGAACTTAAAGTACCTGGGTCCTCGGTTGACCTCGGTCTAACCGATGACGTCACAGGTAAGGTTTAACCCTCGCCGGCCAAGGGGGGGGGGGTGCCGCTCCCTCATAGTTTTTTTTTTCACGATAGCTCCGAACACGCTGACGATAGAGGGCTGAATGTTGCCATACTTGACCGTTGATTTAAGCCGGATCTTTTTACACCAACTGCATTTTCGAGTCAGGTTAGGTCACTGACCTATGACGTCATAAGTGAACCTCTGCACGGTCTTTAGATGTCGCAACTTCGCAACGCCCTCACTGCCAGAGGAGATGTCACAGGCAAATGAAACTTGCAGAATCTAGTATCCATTATGAGTCCCACAACTTGTATATCTCGGATTTTTCCTAAAGGTCATATGAGGTCAGGTCATTTTCGTGACCTCACCATTATAAGTCAATGGGGAAAAATGAAAACTGCTATTCTGGCGCCGGGAACGATCTCCAACTATCTCAAGCACAGAGAATCGTGATTTGATGCACTCCTTGCGAGGTTAGATGCGTCACTTTTGCAATTTTGACCTTGTGTGACGTCATTTATGACGTCATCAAGGTCATATTATTTTTTCGTCAATAACTCTTGATCAAATTGAGCTAGCGAGTCGGGAAAGCCACCAGTGGACTCAGGAAGACCTGCCGAATCGAATGATATGCGACATGACCTCTTTCGACCAACTTCGTGACCTGGGGGTGCTGACCTGACCTTGACCTGAGGTCAACACCCCAAGCTGTCCTGACCCGGACAAAAAGTATATCATTCGACGCGCCTGAGCAAGGCGAACACGATGCTGCCAAAATCGCGGCTCTGCGACCGTTTTTGCGAAATTATTCACCAAAAACTGAACCGTACCTTGGGGCACTTGACCTGACCTCAGAGGTCACCGGTTAGCCTAGGACCTTAACCCGCGACCGCCTTGGGGGGGGGGGCGGTCGGATCCGACCCCCCTCCTTTTTCTTGAATAACTTATGAACCGCTTACGCTATCGACTTGAAACTTGGCATACCTTCTCCCCCATCAATTTGACGTCTCCTGTGTAATTTTTAAGAAAAAATCCATTTTTTTTTTTAGATATATCGATTTTTGTGATGTAACTACATGGCGTTTTCAGTCAAAAAGTGGTAAATGTTGACAAAATCGCCAAAAATCAGGGTTTGAAACAAATTGCAAATTAAGGACATGAATAAACGCAGCTCAACGAGTTCTTTAAAATGGCTATCTCGGATTTTCCATAAAATGCGTTTTTCACCCCTACAAATTCAAAAAAAAAACTATATTTTTTGGAAAACAGCTTATAAAATCCAAAATTTTGAGAATTTCCAAAAACCGGATTATATGTTATAGAGCTCTATTAGAACATTATATGTCCCAAATTTCAACCTTCTATCTTGATTTTTGACCCCCAAATTGTAAAAAATAGCTCCAACATGCATAGGGCATGGTGACGTCACAAGCATTTTCGTGAATTAGAGGCACTTCTGAACATCGCATGTGAAAAAATTGGCACCACTAGATTCCTGGGACAAAGCTCGTCTAGAAAAGTGCACTTTTATGTCAAAAATAAAAAGTTGAAAGATTGACCTTTTTTCTTAGCCCTTGTTTAGTTATGTATGGTATAAACGATTTTTTATGCTTTCAATGCACATTTATCACCAGCTGGGGTCACATATAACCATTACCATCGGATTCGGCGTGAAAAATAAGCCATAAAACATGTGTCGCGCGCCCATGTAGCAAAAAGTGAAAACCGTGACCTTTCGTGACCTGACCTGACCTTGACCCGTGCTTAGTATGACCCCTATACGCACATGGTACCTTCACTAGGTCTTTGAGGTCATTTTTGGTGAGTTTCGAGCAGCAGCTATCGATTCCGCTGTCCGTAAGTCTAATCATGCAAAACCCCAGAATTTGACCTTTGACCTGACATTGACCCGAAAGTTGACCTCCTCAATCTTAAAATCTTAAGAGTGCTTTGGGAAGGTCTCGTAGAGACCTTTCGAACGCCGCCTCGCGGGGCTCGATGCGACCATTGGTTCTCGAGATAACAGGGGGGTCGGATCCGACCCCCCCCCCCCCAGGCTGTCGTGGGTACGGAAATAGCCCAGGCGGTGCCGGGTTAAGCGATTACGCCCCTGGGTACATCTGCCCGATCTCAGAAGCTAGATTTGGAGGTCATACTTGAAAGCAGCCAGCAGGACGAGGCAAAAGTTGGAGGCCCCTGAAAATAGAAGGCCCCGTGGAAAAGGAGGCCCCTTGACAGGGTGGCCCACCCACTTTTAATGACGTTCCTACGCCCGTGCCCTGTTCTCAGGTACCTGGATCCGCCTATTCAAATATTTTCATTGTAAAATGATGGTTAAATGGCTATGAATAGCCCCCCCCCCCCCCCAGTAGGGCGCGTTATACGCAGACCCCGGTGGAGCCCGGGTTACGAAAAGCGGCCAAATAATTACCCCACCCTTCTTTATATTTCTGAATAAATCCTAACAATCGTTTTTGAAGCGTCCCTTATCGACCTCGTCAAAATACCCAACGCTCAGCTCTCGCCTATCAATGCATTGAGCAGTGAGACACATCCCTTTGGTTTCGCGCCGGATAATCACTGGTAACCGTGTTGTGGGAAATATGACAACTATGGAATAGATTAGTGACGTCAATTACAGAAAATCAGGATACCGATACCAAACCAAATACCAACCAAAACCATGGGAAAATACCGAAACCAAACCAATTTGGAAATACCGGGAAAATACCAACCATTTACCAAATTCACAGCCTTTTATACATTAGTGAGGATTCATAATACCAACAAATACCAAAAACAGTAGGGTTGAAATACCGCTGGAGTACGAAAAACATCATCTCAAGTTGGTATCGGTTTGGTATCGGTATACCAAAAACTCGGTATCCGACAGACATCTCTAGAATAGACCCTTTCGAGACGACTACTTATAGCACTTTCTATCAGGCCGGGCAAAGTAACAGCGTTGCACCATGTGGTGGCCACTACAGCCCAGCGCCACTTATCCGTTATTGATCCATGTCGTATCAGATCCTTATCCTTGTTCAATCAGTTTCAGAGCGCACCAACCCATCCCCTCACCTGGCCTGGGGACAGAAGGTGGTGGCCCAGTCGAGGGCCATGATGTGCTTGTAGGTCAGGTTGTAGTAGGAGTCATGGAAGTCTCCCTGCACCACATCGTGATAGAGGGCGTTCTCCGTCGCTATAGCAATCTGCGGCAAAAAAAAAAAAACAGATCACTGAATAAAGAAAACCGGCCACCGCTCTGGGAAAAAGAACAAATAATGTGGAGCCTTAACCCTCGCCCGTATGGGGGGGAGGGGGTCGAACGGACCCCCCATGGTTTTTCGCGAATAACTCGCGTAAAAAGCGGCCGATCGCGGCGAAACTTTCAGTACCCTCGCGTTCATCAATTGCACACCTACCCGGAAAATTTCATGACCCTGACCCAAATGACTTTTGACCTGTGACCTACTTTTCGAGACCATGTTTGGCTGGAATCGCGATTCGGCGTATGTCGGCTCGCATTAGCCGCGCGTTTGCAGTCTTTTCGTGGTTTCAAGCGTTCAAACATGTGATATGATGTTGCCCCCATGCCTTAGGGTGGGTGTTAAGGTCACCTGAAGGTCAGGTCAGGTCATTGACCTTTGATGACCTCGGCTCACTTTTTCGAGTTTTACATGTTTCTAGGCCAGTTTTGGGAGCTGAATTCGAATTTAGCAACCATATGAACATTTACGAAGTAGTTTTGGTGCCTTCGTAACATGTTACGAAGCTGTCAGAGGCGGTTGCCACCTACTACGAATACCCTTACTGGTTGACCTGACCTGACCTGACCCGACCTGGCCTAAATACATGAAGACATCATCTGTGATCAAAACTAACATGATATTCGTGATCAGTACCCCGGAAAAACCCCATAGCAGCCACACTTTACGACGTTCTAACAGGTCCCGATTTTCCCGCCTTTGGGGTCATTGACCTGACCTGCAAGGTCAACCAATGACCTAGGACCTTAAAATTGGGTATCATCGGCTTCCTCTCGTCACGGGCAACACACTCGTTTTTTTCCGCGAAGCTCTAGCTCGATCAGGGGCGAAACGGCAAGGGGGGGGGTCCAACGGACCCCCCCCCCTTATACGTTCGCGGCTGGAAAAACACCAATACGGGCGAGGGTTAAGGACTGAAATGCAAGATCATAATATGTAGCTTCTCTCGAGAAATACCTAGTAAATTACAATTCAAATAATATATTAAAGACTGTACATTTTACAATCATAAGCACAGTCTTTATAGCCACTGTACAAACGCACAAGTTCAAATTGAAAGCCACGCATGTCACTTTAACCCTCGCCGGACCTATTGGTTTTCTACATACGCGCCGGCCGAGGGGGGGGGGGGGGGCCGGTACGACCCCCCCTCGTCGTTTCGCCCCTGGTGGAGCTAGCGCGTCGCGGAAAAAAACGAGCGTGTGCGCCGTTACGAGACGCAGAGATTGGTACCCGTTTTTTAGGTCCTAGGTCAACCGGTGACCTCTGAAGTCAGGTCAAGTACCCCAGGGTACGGTTCAGTTTTTGGTGAATAACTTCGCAAAAAACGGCCGCAGAGCCGCGATTTTGTTCGCCTCGCTCAGGCGCGTCGAATGATATACTTTTTGTTCGGGTGAGGTCAACTTAGGGTGTTGACCTCAGGTCAAGGTCAGGTCAGCACCCCCAGGTCACGAAGTTGGTCGAAAGAGGTCATGTCGCATATCATTCGATTCGGCAGGTCTTCCTGAGTCCATTGGTGACTTTCTCGACTCGCTAGCTCAATTTGATCGGGAGTTATTGACGAAAAACTAATATGACCTTGATGACGTCATAAATGACGTCATGGAAGGTCAACATTGCAAAAGTGACGCATCTAACCTTGCAAGGAGTGCATCAAATCACGATTCTGTGTGCTTGAGATAGTTGGAGATCGTTCCCGGCGCCAGAATAGCAGTTTTCATTTTTCCCCATTGACTTATAATGGTGAGGTCACGAAAATGACCTGACCTCATATGACCTTTAGGAAAAATCCGAGATATGCAAGTTGTGAGACTCATACTGGATACTAGATTCTGCAAGTTTCATTTCCCTGTGACATCTCCTCTGGCAGTGAGGGCGTTGCGAAGTTGCGACATCTGAAGACCGTGCAGAGGTTCACTTATGACGTCATAGGTCAGTGACCTGACCTGACCCAAAAATGCGGTTGGTGTCAAAAGATGCGGCTTGGATCAACGGTCAAGTATGCCAAGTTTCAGCTCTCTATCGCCAGCGTGTTCGGAGCTATCGCGAAAAAACCCTATGGGGGGGGCGGCACCCGCCCCCCCCCCCTCGGCCGGCGAGGGTTAACCCGCGACCGCCGGGGGGGGGGGGGGGGCGGATCCGACCCCCCTCCGTTTTTCTTGAATTACTCATGAACCGCCTACGCTATCAACTTGAAACTTGGCATACCTTCTCCCCCATCAATTGGACGTCTCCTGTGCAATTTTTAGGAAAAAATTTCCAAAAAAATTGAGATATATCGATTTTAGTGATGTAACTACATCACTTTTTTTCAGTCAAAATGTGGTAAATGTTTAAAAAATCGCCAATAATCGAGGTTTAAAGCAAATTGCAAATTAAGGACATCAATAGACGCAGCTCAACGATTTGTTGAAAATGGCTATCTCGGAGTTTCCATAAATTTCGTTTTTCACCCCTAAAAATTCAAAAAACTACATTTTTTGGAAAAGAGTAAATAAAATCCAAAAAATTGGGAATTTCCAAAAAAAAACCGAAATATATGTTGTAAAGCTCTATCAGCACATCAGATGTCCCAAATTTCAACTTTCTATCTTGATTTTTGACCCCTAAATTGTAAAAAATGGCTCCAACATGCATAGGGCATGGTGACGTCATTAGCATTTTCGTGAATTAGAGGCACTTTTGAACATGATAAGTGAAAACAAATGGCACCACTAGATGCCTGGGACAAAGTTCGACTAGAAAAGTGCATTTTTATGTCAAAGATAAACAAGTTGAAAACTTGGACTTTTTTTCTTAGCCCTCGTTTGGTTATGTATGGTATAAACGATTTTTTATGCTTTCAATGCACACTTATCACCAACACAGTGACTTGGGGTCACATATAACCATTACCATCGGATTCGGCGTGAAAAATAAGTCATAAAACATGTGTCGCACGCCCATGTAGCAGAAAGTGAAAACCATGACTTTTCGTGACCTGACCTGACCTTGACCAATACTTAGTATGACCCCTACACGCACATGGTACCTTCAGTAGGTCTTTGAGGTCATTTTTGGTGAGTTTCGAGCAGCAGCTATCGATTCCGCTGTCCGTAAGCTTAACCCTAGAACGCCTAGGGGGGGGGGGGGGTTGTATCAACCCCCCCCCCTGAGGTTTTTTCGAAGTGCACGCTAAACGGCTTGTCGTAGCGGGCTATTTTCAATACCCTCTGGGGCAACCTTTGCGCATCTTTTGCCGAAAAAAATTGATCGGGTCATGTCAGGTCACGGAGTTATGACGTCATAAGAGGTACAGCCTCTGGCCGACAGTTACCAAACGTGTGCGCCGAATCCCTAGGTTTTCTGCCGGTGATACCCACATTGTTTGATGGATCATGATGAAACTTCCCATGCATGTTGGGGCAAGCATTGGCTATCGTGTGGTGCAAGAAAATTGACCAGGTCAGGTCAGGTCACGGAGCTATGACGTCACAAGAGGAACAGCGTCCGGTACTATTTTTGAAAAGCGGCCGAACCACTATTTTGCTAATTGTTGTCACCTCAATGGGAATATGCAGCAATATTAGCTTCTATAGGGAGCAAATGGACCTCCCAAATCCAAAAATACAATCAGATTTCAAAAATTTAAATTTTGACTTTTCGAATTTCTGCCGCCGACTGTGACCTTGCCGACTTCCGGCGCTCCCAACGCGCCATTTTTAGAGCTAGGGAAACGAAATACATACCAAACGATAGAGAATTGATCAAGGAACACGATAGTGAAGGTTTCAAGTCGATATCTCCCACCGTTTTGCCGCAATCGCCGCGGAAAATTGAAAAAGTTTGATTTTTTCGGAAAATTTGACCTTTGACCGGTCATAAGTAGGTCAAATGTTGACCTAGGACCAAAAAATATACCACCAATCGCGAGATCTCGTTGAGAGCAATCCGTTGGTTTTTTCCGCTAAGCTCTACGACCTTCCGTTTCGAAACGCCAGGGGGGGTCGTAACAACCCCCCCCTGGTCGTTCGTGTTATGAGAAATGGCCTGGTCGTGCGAGGGTTAACCTGCGTCCTGGTGGGGGGCTATTTTTTGCCCCCCCCCCAGACTTTTCGATATATCTCCAGAACCGCCGCGCCAATCGTCACCAAACTTTCAGTACCCTCCCGGACATCAATTTTATACATTGTGACTTAAATTTTTTCCAAATGCTATGATAGGTTGGCCGGAAATGACGTCAGAGTGACGTCATGTTCTGCCGTTTTCGACCCAAAAAAGGGTTTCGCGGGAAGATCTGTCAGGCCTATAGCTTTGCAAATACAGAAAACGATTAACATATAAAAGCTGTAGAATTGAAAGGGCTACAAAACTGCTGTCTCGGATTTTTGAAATTTTTGGATTTTGACCCCCAACAATAAAAAATAGATTTTTTGAATATAATAGCTGAAAAAATCCAGAAAGTTTTTTGAATTTCGCAAAAACCGGAACATATGTGATAGTCCTTACCGCCTTCTATTCACATACCAAATTTGAGATTGATACCTCTTTTTTGGCGAAGTTATAGCGAAAAAAACTGTTCAAAATTGATAACGTTAAATTTTTAAACTCAATTTTTAGCAATTCTAGACCCTGTAGCGCAAAACAAAGACCACCATTAGACTCCCCGTGACGAGCTGCATCGAATCGATACCCATTTTATGCAAAACTATCAAATTTAAAATTTGAACTTTTTTGACCTGACCTTGACCTCATCTTCACCACAAAGTGACCTAAGCCGTACCTGATAGTCTTATAACCAACACTATTGAGTTGGAAATAAAAAAATCGCCATAAAACATGCATCGCACGACCTTTCACCTTAGTACGGAGTACCTAAACTTAGGTTTATGTGACCTGACCTGTGACCCTTGGTGACCTGACCTGTGACCTGACCTGGTAATGTCAGTGACCTCTTACAGCAA